GAACGGAAATAATGTGTTAATTACGTAAAGTTTGAAGGCTAATAACCAGAAAAAGTCTAACTTATTTTTACAAAGAGAAAGATGCAAAGTTATAATATCTTTGCTTGCGATCTCCGAGATCCGTGGACACAGTGACGTCATGAGGAGGGAAATCGTAGCTTCAGCTCTAAGAGCGGAGTGAACTAGCCCTTGTATTCTCTTTAGCCCTGGTACTAAGTAAACTTAAAAATAATAGAAATGCTATCTGATTAAAAAGAAGATCTGTAACAGTAAAAAGTACAAATAAAAGAATTTAAGAGCATATAGCTTCCTCATTGCTAAATCATATTTCTGAATCATCTAAATTACCACTTGGACAGAATCAATAATTTTTAAAGAAATAAAGTAGCAATGAAAGTTGCTTTAAAAAAGTTATTTTTACTTTTATTGGCAGCTTTGCACATAAATAATGAACATCAAAATAAAAAAAATATTTNAATTCGCATTTTAAACACAGATAGTCCGCGGACTATACGCGCGAAATTACGGTAGCAATGAAAGTTGCTTAAAAAGTTATTTTTACTTTTATTGGCAGCTTTGCACATAAATAATGAACATCAAAATAAAAAATATATTTACAGAACAGTTTCAAACTAAATTCCATTCAGAAAAAAAAACTACTTACACTGAGCCATTTGTGTTGTGGCATTAGTGAAAACAGCTTCTATTTCATTTAAATCAGTGATACCTAAAAATTCAATTTACGAAAATAAGAGATCTTAATATAGCTTTTAAATGTATGAAATCAACTTTCATAAAACTAAGAATAAAGTTAAAAATTATAAAATATATTCATATTTTTTATTTCTTTTGCATTCTAAATATCATTTGTATAGTTACATGTGTAACATGTACAGGTGATTATCAAAATAATGGAAACACTTGTGAATAAAAGGAACCTTTAAGAATTCGCTTCATAAGCATTAAAATATTAAAATATAATCTAAGCTACCAGTTTTTTGAATATAAAAAGTACATATATTAGGTGGTATGAGAGAGCTTTAGTAGAGTTGTCTACGTTTTGATTTTTTGTCGAAAGCGTAAAATGTCAGACATGACAGATTTTCAGAGAGGCCAAATTGTAGGAGCCCCGACTAGTTGGACATCCCAGCTTTTAGGAGTTTCTAGAGGTACGGTGTCTAAAGTCATGACAGCATACACACAGAATGGAAAGACAAGCTCAGCAAAGCAAAATAGTGGACAGAAGGAGAAGCTGAATGAAAGAGACCGACAGGTATTGAAGCGGATTGTAATGTCTAAAAAGAAAACAACTGCAGCCAAAGTGACCGCAGAGCTCAATCAGCATCTGGATTCTCCAGTGTCAACAATTACAGTTAGGAGATACCTTCATAAAGTGAACATTTATGGCAGAACAGCGATTCCCAAGCCTTCGAAATCTAGAGTGTTTCCATTATTTTGATAACCACCTGTATATGTGAATAGTAACATATGTAATAAACAACTTAAAAAACTGAGTTCATTACAAAATTAATCAAATGTGTGCTATGTGCACAATAGTGTGAAAAATAAGCTATGTGCAAAGGGAAACTACAATTGCAATAATGTTACAAGAAAAGCTGCATGTAAAGTACTTATTCATTACATATTAACTAAAAACATCATATTATTAATCCTACAATAAAAAGTAATCCATTTATTTCCCAATTGTTTACTTAATTCTTTATTTTCCAATAAAAATAAATAAAACCCATTCAAACTCGTAATCTTTCAGCCTTAAAACAAGGTACGAATAATGTGAATTGAATAACAAGAAAATGCAACTAATTTTTCAGCTTTCGTACATTCTTAAAAAAGTAAAAGGGAAAAAAATTTTAAAAATTGCTACAGTTAAATTCTTAGGCATGAATAGAACACATTTAAGCATATTCAACTTTTCTTTCATTACACTTTAATAAGCTAGTTTTTTAAAAGCTTTCTAATAAAAATAAAACTGCCGATGGAAACATTTTCCTTGTGTTTTCATGCATACCAAGGTCACCATAAATAAGAGGAAAATATCGATAAAAAATGTCAGGCATTAACTCACAAGCAATGAACAAAAAAGAAATTGCTTACCAGATTCTGGATCAGTAGATATCCTACGTCGTAAATAATCCAAGTAAGCAAGCCAAAGTTCTTTAAATTTTTCTTCCTCTACAAATCCACCCGTCATAAGAACATTTTCAAACATATCTAAGAAAAGTAAAAAGTACATACTATAAAAACAACAGACTGCCTTTTACATTCAAACATTGAACTTTAGTCAAAACAAAAAACAATGCATAACAGTTTTTTTAATGTCTCAATACTTAGATATTTCACTAAAATCTGTTGTTGTTTTAATTAATTTCTATGTTGCTATCAAAATGTATCACTCAAATAATGCAGTGTTCTCCCCAAACATTTTTGAAGGCAGCCCGCCCAATAAAATAAAATGGGACATATTTTGGTGGGTTTTTTTCCTTCAGACTAAAAATATCATACCTCAAATTCATTTTAAAATATTGGATATATATAATGTACAGAAGATCTTATTAGTGCAAAACTTGAGAAATGAGACTGCACCATATAGAATTTTGTGTTATATAGATTATGTCACATATCATTCAACTTACCAACTAAATATGACCATATATATCTGGATAGCAGGTCAATATTAATGCTTTAAAATAATTATTAAATACAAATAATTTAAAACTCATATATATACACTAAAGTAATTATTATTTAAGGAAAATTTTAAAACTATCAAAAGCTTTAGAAATTAAATCCAATCAATTTATTGATTTTACTTTGCTTCAGAGAAATATGGAGAATTGTGGTTAATACAGAATTGCATTGATGCATTTTAACATTAATTGCAGTTGATGTATTTTAACAAACTCTAAAGGGTTTCCAATCCAAATAAATAGTGCAATAAGTGCAGTGGCTAAGTATATTTCACATAGTTTGTTTTATAGATAAGTAATGAATTATAATTTAGAAATAAGTTTTTTTTAATGATGCATTTTTTATAATTACAAATTTTATATTTATTCACTTATATTAAATTTCATTTGCAAAAATCAAAAGACTGAAATATGTTTTGCTTGATATAATTACGTATAAAAAGTTACAAAAATTAAATTTATAAAACAATAATTAGATAATTTCAAACAATAATTTAGTTTGATAATTGCAAAGAAAATTGATTAGAAATTGTAAAATGTGAGAAAAAAAACACTTGATGGGTATAAAGATTGCTTTTTTCATATGAGCTAAATCTGAAAAAAGCCATCGGGATTTTTAGGGCTGGGCCCACCTAGCTGGCCAGCCAGACCCTGATTTAAAAAAATAATAATATTAAGATACAGTATTTGATGTAAATCACTCATGGCTAGGGCCCTATAAATGATGCGAAGATGCGGAAGATGCGGAAACCCGCATAATTCACAATTATCCGCATAATTTACAATTTTCCGCGTAATCGCAGCATATCCGTATAATTTTTATTTTTCAGCAAAATGTATTCGTTTACCAGATAAATTTCTCCTTAAGGGTTTTTTTTCTCAATTGAAATATATCTTCTTTTTCAATTCCAAGAATCTTTTTGGTCCGGTGGTCAGATCTTTCCAAGAATCTCCCCCCTCCCTCGGCACATAGCTTCTTATCAGTCGCCATCATCTTCAATAGGTCGCCATCATCTTCAGTTTACATAGAATTTTTTAGCAGTGAAATAAACATTACTCCTGACACTGCTTGTCTCAATCAGTGCAAAGTTTTGGTGGAAAGCAAGTGCGTTTGCAAAGACTTTCAGTTCATCGCAGAACACGGTCAGATATTAATGGATACTCTTCTCTTTTTCGAAACATGTGGTGTATCTATTCACAAAGCTTACAATAAGATTTTTGATCTACTGTCTAAACTTCGATGTAATTCTCAGGCATCATACTCACGAAAAGATTCAAGCAATGTATTTCTTCAAGAAGTGTTTCACAAAACAATTGCAAATTTGAATACTTAATAGTCTCCAGAACTAGACGTACTCAAAAAACGCGAGCCCAAGTTTAGTCAACCTGCATCAAACTTCTTGAAAGCTGCTCGAGTTTTCGATCCAGAACAAATAGTCAACCTCAATATTGAAGACGACGATGTATTCAAGAATATTCCAGGAATGAGTGGTCAAGATATAAAACTCGAGTATGCTGCTTACAAAGAATATGTAAAAGAATGTTCAAACCAGGACTTAATTAGATTCTGGAATTCAGAGGTAGTCTCAGAGAGATTTCCAGAACTTACAAAAAAAGCAAAACAAGTGCTCTCAGTGCTTCCTAATTCAGTAGATTGTGAAAGAGCTGTATCCTGCTACGGCCAAATTTTTACAAAACAAAGACAGAGTTTGAAAGAAAACGCAGCTTCTGGACTAACTTCTCTCCATTTTAATAAACTTTAATAATTGTTCTGATGTAGAAAATGAATGTACAATACATAAGAAGGTAATTTAGTTGAAATCTTTACTGTATTCATTAAATTTTTTTTTATTAAAACAGGAAAGAAAGTTGAACTTTTTTAAGAGATTTTTTTTCAGTTTCAATTGTTTTCTGGATCATTCGCAACCTGCATGCATAATTTTTAAAAGACACCGCATCCTTGACGCATAATTTTTAAAAATCGCCGCATCCTAGCCGCATAATTTTTAAAAAATTTCCGCATAATTTATAGGGCCCTACTCATGGCAAATGAGACATCTTCTAGAAAAGTAAGGCACACATCACAAATAGAAAAAATTAGATCTGTTTCAAAAACTATGACATTATGCATTTAAAACAAAGTGCATCAACTTTACACACAGCTTTTCAAAAACACAAGAAAGCTAACTTCGTTATTGCACTAATTTGTTTATTTGGGGGTCATAAAATAAAAGTTTGTTAGACCTATATATCATTGCGGCCACTAGTTCAGATGGTTTATTTTATTTTATTATTTTTATATAGCACTAAAGAAAATGAAGAATTTATGACTATAAAATTAAGGCAAAATACTTTTTAAGGGGAAAAAGTTCTCTAAATAAAAAAAAATGTAAAAAATGAGAAAGAATTTTTTTGGCTGTACTAATTAATTATTCTCAAAAAAAATTACTAAAAATTTTAAATAAAAAGAATACAGGAAAAATCAGTTCCTGACAGTAGATGAGATGGCTGATATAAGCAAATGCATATAATGTTAAAATAGCAATAAAAAGACTAAAAACTTAGACAGACATAGATCCTTTTTAGTTTGGAAAACACAAATATTTTAATTTAAAATAGATATCAGGAATAGACTGCTTTTGCCTACAGAATGTAGACTGAATTATGAAGTTTTTCAGTTTCCAAGAAGATAATGAGATGAATGGTAATACTTTTTGATAACATTGATAATAGTGAATTGAATAAAGAGTTAAGAAAGAAAATAAGAAGGAAGATGAATGTGTCATCAACAAAAAGCACATTTTTTTTGGAAATGTGCAACAGGATTTCTATAAATAATAGAACTTTTCTTTCATTGGGAAGAAGATAACTTAGCCAGGGGTCGCTCAAACGTTGCTTTATAAAAATAAGGAATTAATATTGTTAGAAGGAAAAGATATTCACTTTTACATTTCTGTATTGATATAAGAAATAACGAAAAATGTGTTCCATTTAAACCCTTTTCGTATAATATTATGAGTATATAAAAAATAAGGAATTATGATTTTAAAAAGGAAACGTTTTTTTTATATTACTTTTTAGCACTGGTACTAAAAATAAATAAAAATGTTTTCCATTTAACCTTTTTTCACATAATATTTCTTCCTTAAACAACAGAAAAAAATGTCTTTTTCAAAAAAAAATTATAGTAATAACAGAAAGCTAGTAATTTTTAACTTGCCACAAGCATGCAATTTTCGTATTACTAATACTAATATTTCATATTACTAAAGGGTGCGTAACCAAATTTTTCAACAAAAAATAAGCACCTTTTAAGCATTTTTCAAGCACTCAAAAAATATTTAAGCACTTAAAAAAATATCATAATCAGGAAAGGTTGGCAAATTTTGTCAATTGACAGTTTTATCCGGCTTTAACTGCCTTGTCAAAAAAAAACACTTTTGACATAGTTTTTGAAAATTGTCAAAAAATCACAATTTTGGCTTTAAGGATAATTATCAGCTATTATAAATATGAAGAAATTTTAAATTAACCTATATGTAAAATTACAAGCGTTCCATCAATTACGTTCTAGAATTATATTAACATAAAACTTTCTTTGTTTTGAAAATTACCGTTTAAAACCCAAATTTTGATGTAGAAAATATTAAATAATTTTAAACAAAAATGTGTCAAATTGCAATTTATCCAATCCCTTAATTTGTTTAACTACTGAAAATAAAAAAATAATTTTCTTGTAAAAAAAAACACTTTTCCCCAAAGCAACTTATTATAACCTCTGCACTCCAAGTTCATTTTACAGTTTTGTATGAATAAGACCGGAATTTGAAACTGTTCTTACACTGTAAATAATGTCTTTTTGTATAATTAATGGCGAAAATCAACATGGAAAAGAAAAAAATAGCTGATTTCGGAAAAGACAATATTAAGCACTTTTTAAAAACATCCAATTAAAAAAGCACCTTTAAGGGCTTTTAAGAAACCAAAATCGAAAAAAAGCACCTTTAAGCACATTTTTCAAAACGTTACGCACCCTGCACTAACATTGGGCTGTTTTTCAAGTAAGGGTCGTTTTGTTGTATACCTGTGCTCAGTTTCAGCTGTGTAGGTAACTTGCACGATCAGTTCTGTGCTTTTAAAATGTTCAAATTTAACAAATCGCTCGCCACACACAAGATACAGTCAGTGATGTGTTTTTAGTCGACAAAAAACCTGTCAGCTGCATACACTCACTGGCAGATTTGTAAAGTTACGATATGTGATATAGCAAAATGCTCTGCCATGCTGACGGGGAATTTTTCTACTCTATGATAAAGACTCTCTCCGCAGCTCAGATCCCAGCTTTATTGGACTCTTTTGATTGGGAAGTTTTGGATCCCTCCTCCCAACAGCTCTGATCTTTGCGTTGAGTGATTTTCATCTTTTCCGATATTTCGAACACCATTTTGGAGGTTATCACTAGAACGATTACGAATACATGAAAACGGACGTGACCTCTTGGTTATCGGAGCAGACAGAAATTTTGTATGAAAAAAACTTGGCAGCTATGCTGAAAATAAGAGAAACGTATGTAGAATCTGAAAATAAATTTGCTTCCTGAAATAATAATGCTTGAAATTTTTTTTGCTTGTTTGGTTTTTATTTTCAAATGGCTTTAATTAAAAAAACCATAGAAAACTGTATACAATATGTAATGCTTGGATAATTAAAAAAAAAGAATACAAAATAAACAAATTTAAATCTTGCAAACCTATTAAGATAAAACTTCCATTAATTACCTCTTATTTTTTCGTGTGGTTCGTGATATTGTTCCAATGCTCTTCCATACCTAACCCATATTTGTACACACCAGGGCAAGTTTTTAACTGCTCTTTGATGAACAGGCAATGATATGTCTTTGTTTTTCAGATCCCTGTCCTGAATCATACGAGTAAAATAAAATAAATTACATTTAACGTATAAAACGAAAAATAATAATTGTTCTTTACCAAGATTGACAATTTTTTTAAAGGAATAAAAAAAAAATTTGGATTTGTTGGATTTAAAAAAGATTTCTTTTTCAATCATAGCTCTGATAAAATGTATTAATAATAATACTTAACATCATTCAAAAATATATTTGGTTAAAATATTTAATGTTTGCATCTAAAATAGGTTTAAATAAAAAAATAATAATTATGACCACAACCTCATTAATTACATAGTGTAAAAAAAATTACAACTTAAATTAATATCCTAAAATTAATGATTTTTTAAAAAATATCAAGTGATTTTAATAATTTAATCTTGTTTCTTATTCTTTAAGTACAAATCAGTGGTTTTCAATCAGTGGTATCTAGAAAGTTTTCAAGTGGTATTGGGAACAGGAATTGAGCAAAATGCTAAGATGTTATGCAGAAGAAAGTAGTATTTTTTAACATTAAGTTTATTAAATTACTAAAATATTAAGCGCCAGCTAACTCAACTTGCCATGTCGCCCGAGTTTTATAAACCCCAAAATAAATAGCATTTTTCATTCTTAATTTATTTTGTTTAAAAAATATCTACAGAAAAGTGTTAAAGGCTTACAATGAAAACAGATCTAGAACATAAGTGTTTATTATTTTATTGTTTTTTTGTTCTGTTTTGATAAAAAAAATGCTTAGAAAATATAAAACCATACTACTTTGCTTAGTTTAAAAAAAAAACAGAAGAAGAACAGTCTCAATAATCACTGAAGTATCTAATTCAAACAAGTGGAAATTTCAGTTTTTCGCTTATTGTAAAAAAATAATAATAACATTAAAACAAAAAAAAAATTTAGTATCTAAGCAGAAATAAAGAAATTAAAAAAATTAAAAGCAGTAAAAAAATCTAAACCTACTATTTTATTTGTAAATTTGAAATTGCAGATTACTTATGATGTTTTATTAGTATTAATTTCACATTTGCCCCACCTATTGAACTTTCGATAATTAATTCTTCCCAAAATAATTTATCGCTATAAGTATAGCATCAAAAAGAAATTTTTATAATTTCTATCTGGCTGTTTCGAGGTTGCAGAAAAACATTAATTTTTGAAGTTAAAACAGGAAATTCTACTACCTGAGCTTTAATAACATTAAAATATTTCTTTATTTTCTTTTTAAAAAAAACACTTCAAATTTAAACTGAAATTTTTAACTTTTTAAAAAAAAAATTCTATTTTTAAAGAGAAATTAGATCTAATATTCATGATTATTATTAAAACTGAGTTGATCATGGGAGTTAAGAACTTGAGGAATAAAATATTAATTAAGATCTGTTAGTAAAATTAAGTATAAATTAAAATTATTAGTGGAATTGATTATTAATTAAGAACTGTCTACGGAATCAAACAGTTAATTAAGAACTGTCAATGGATTTATTAAGAACTTTAAGTGGAATTAATTCATCATTAAGAACTTCATGTATAATTAATAATTAATTTCAAAATGTCATTGAAATTTATATTTAAGATAAATTGCATTGCAGCACTAACCAAATATTTAGTGTAATCTAACCACAATTCTTCTTTTAAGCAATTCTCAACCAAAGCACGTTCATACACATTTTGCACACGACTAGCATCTCCATTCCTTTTCTCATAATTAATGTATTCTTTGAATTCTTCATAGTGAGGAGATTCTGACTGGTACTGAAAATCAAAAGAGAAAAAAAAGTTAGTTCATTAACTAAATTTTAATTATAAAATGATTTCATTTAAATAAAAGTCAACTTGAAAATAGAAATTTTATTCAGATTTTCAACTTTAAAATACATGATACCAATTTTCAGAATTAAATATCTGGATCAAGAAGGTGATTATATTCCAAATTAACCAAATGGTCAAAATTCTAATGGCCTATAAATGAATCTACATTAATAGAATCACTATATGAAATTTACATAAATGTTCAATAGTAAGTTTAAAATCAAATCTTATTTGCTTGTTACGCCATTAAAACTTAACATACACGAATTTTACAATGCTTAGGTGTAGTAATAAGGTTATATCTCACAGCATTTAATACATCTTAATGATATATCTGATAATGATATATAATGATAATCTAGATACAGTGTAAAGTCGCGTATCCGGAATCGGTGGGACTCCCAGAAGTCCGTATAATAGATTTTTCCGTATAATNGGAAAGGGACGTCCGGATATGGGACGTTACACTGTATATCTGTCTAGAAATAACTAATGTTACTTTCAGCTCAGACATATTTCAATATCAATAGCAATTTTCTTTACATTTCTAATACTGTTCCCATGTTTAGCATCAAACTTAAAATTGGATAACATGCCAAACAGACATACCAAAAATGTGCAACACTATATGGGCAATTCCACAATTTACGTACGTGCAGACTTTAAAAGCATAATTCGATTAACAAATCTGGGTGACTTGCTTCAATTTTTGGTAACTTTCATAAGTTTAAAAAAAAAAAAAAATAAAAACTAGGTGTTTCATGTTTAAAAAATTTTAAACTTCTGAATTTTAAAATTGGAATAAAAGTAAATAACATCAAAATTTATTTTCACTAAGATTCTTACAACTGATCAAATTTTTTTTTAACTGAATTATATGCTTACTATAATTTGCAAGCACAATAATCGTAAATGGTAAAATTGCCCTTATGTAAAACAAAACACAATCATACAAGAGAATTTTCATGAACGGCGATTTGATCCAGTTTCTGCAAGGCTTTCTTATATGAATATTCAATTGAATTTATATCAGGGTGAGAGTTCTCATCAAAAAGTTCTCTAAACTCTTCATACGTTTTATCCATGTCTAAAAACAAAAGAAAATGAATGAATTAATTTTTAAATAAATTGCACTATTTTACAAAAAAAATTAGTTAATATTTATTTTTTAACATAAAGTATCACTCAAAATAAGTATAATAGTAAAATTATTTAATAAGTATAATATTATATAAAATAAGTTAAATATTAAGTAAATTTAAAATTAAATATAATTTTCGTATATGAGAAGACTTTCAGAACGACTTAAAAATAGAATAAAATTTCATTTAAATTTAAAAAAATAATAATAAAATGAGACAAAAATCTTTTTTTTTTTCATTTTAATAGTTTCATGAAACTCATTAAATAGTTTCATGATGTATCCATATTAAATCAATGTTTTTTAAAAGTATTATTGTACTAACTAAAGTAACATAAATTTTTAAAAACACAAGTTTTATCATAGTAGAATTTTGCTTTGCTAATGAATATTGAGTTGCAGATCGAAATCGGTAAATTCTGCTACCAGATTAGTATCTACATTGCAAGATAAAAATACATTTTAGAATTTAAATACGTAAAAAATTATTGCAACTTCAAAAAAAGTCTTATACATAATAGAAAATAAAAAATGGTAAAAATAAATCGTTTTCAGTTGCATATAAGTTTTACTTAAGATTACTAATTATTATTAAATATTTAATTTTTCGTAACACATGTCTACATTTAAAGACAATAATAAATATTTGATCATATTTTCCAATAGATTTCAAAACTATTTAAAAATTTGAAATGTATAAAAAAGAAATCAAAAAATTTTTGAATATAAATAATTAATCTTAAAACTTTATTTTAAAACTTTATTATGCTAAAAGAAATGGATCACAGCATGTAAATTAAGTTGAATTAATGACATAATTTATGTATTAAACGTAAGGGGACATTTTTCTTAAAGAATTTACATTTCTAAGAACTATATTTTAAATGCTCAGATGCAAAATTTATCTGCTGAATTTTAAAAATTCAAACAATCATATTGATTATACATTAAACAATTTATCAAATGCTCTATTAATATATATTTCCATATTACAGGGATGAGATTAGCCAAAAGGCAAAAAAGCTGAATTTCTACACTAGTAAATTTTACGCAAGAGCAACCCTTTAATTATAAATTCCAGACAGTTTAAGATAATAAATAATGTGTTGACATACAATTGTGTACTAATCTATTATTATANAAAGTCATCAAAAGAAGATTGAACTCCTTAGCACATTTTGAAAATAACAATTATTGTTTTACAAATTTATAACTTTTTGCAACATAACCAAAATGTTAACTAATTACCATTGATCAACTAAAATGGGATTTAAACATTGAAATTAGAAGAAAATAGAACTGTTTTGGCTCCTAAATAATTCTGGTCGAGCAATCTAATAAACAGAAAGCTTAAAATTAAATAAAACAAAAATCCTTTTGAAGATAATATAACTACCAAATAAAGGAACAGAGAGCTGCCTTCTAAAGATGTTATATATCTTTTCTTCTTGTTCTTTTAATTCATTATCAGATGCCCCTTTATTCTACAAACATAATAAATAAGAAATACTATTAATACACTAAGAGAAATATTATTCAAAAGAAATAAAATAATTAAATTGATTTTAGAAAAATATAATGAAATATATAAAAAGATTCCACATTTCTTCCAGAAGGTATTGCTAATTGCATGAGTTATATCATATAATATGAATATATATCATAGGCATTTATAGCAATTTGAATGTTACTTAATAATCAGATTCAACATATAGAAGAGTCAATATATTTTTAAAAAAAAAGCTTTAAAATACTTCCTATACTTCCCCACAAAAGTATGACTTAATAAAAGGAACTGTTTTTTTAAATCGTATAAATATACAGTAGAACCCCCCTTTATCCAACAACTCCACAACTAGAGATATGTCAGAAAATCGAAATTGTCGGATATTAGAAGAACCTTTTTAAATCAATTTTGTGAGCATATAAACAAAAAACTATGAGTAAAACAACTCAAAATTTAGCAACTAAAGTAAAGTTCAAGAAAAACACTTACTTTCGTTTTACTTTTTTATTAAAAAATACCTGAAAATCTGTTCTCCATAAAGGGTAAAAAAATTAAGCAATTAATTAATGATTTTGCGTTTTAGTATTTAGCTTATTGTCTTATTTTAATTAGTACTTATAACTCCAAAAGTAAATAAGCATCATCAGCTTCAATAATAGTATGGAAATTTTTTACTTTTTTCCTAAACAAATTATTAGTTCCACATCTCTAATAATTTTGCTTTTTATTGTAGTACAAAATTTATTATTTTATTTCAGTTAGCACTTATTACCAAAATTAATTAAGCATCATAGGCATCAGTAATAGTATGGCGATTTACTATGCTTTTTTTAAATGAATTAGTACGATTTTTCTATTATTTTTAACACATACTCTGTTATTTTTATTTCAATTAGTACCATTTGAGCCAAGGTGGCTCAGGAGATAGAGCATCTGCCTTCCAAGGAGGTAAACCGGATTCGAATGCCAGCAATGGCTCATTGATATGTATTCCGCACCAGACTCGCACCGACCACAGTGCTGACATAAAAATATACTCAGTGGTAGACGGATCATGGGTTAGAGTCCCCTTGCTGTTAGGCTAACCGTGGGAAGTTTTCATAGTTTTCCTCTCCATGTAAAGCAAATACGGGTTAGTTTCATCAAAAAGACCTTCATAAATGCAATCTGTTTAATAGAGATACTTAAGCCAGGGGCTAATAGAGATGTCTAAGCTATTATCACTTAATCAATTGCTATGATATTGTAGATGTTGATGGCAACCAATTATTTACACTGTTTTTGATTATGGTATTATACTAGTACACTATTTCCAATTATTTACACTATTTACACTAAATGTATTCCAATTGGTTGCTATAACTGACTGATTGATTATTCATAAATGATCAATCAGCAAAAAATAACTATTGGTTAAGCATCTCTATAGACATTTTTTTGCAGTCAAATTCTGGAGTCCCCATCCAAACAGAAATTAAAAGGAAAAATAATTATAATAAGCTACTAAATGAATTTTTAATAAATTTTATATCTTTGTTACTATGACTCTTAGAAGCAAACATTAATTTTTAATTAATAAGCAGAAAGCTATTGAATCTCAATTTCTAAAAAATAAATAAATGAAAGAAAAAAAATTCCTGACCTTGCATAAATGTTTTAAAGATCTGCAAGATTTATTTATTTTTAAAATAAAAATGAATGACAATCTAAAAGAGTTTTATGCACCAAAAAATCAAATTCACATTAGATAAAGTAAATTTGAGTAAAAAAAATTTATAGGCACTGAATGCAATTATTTTGTGGTATAAATCACATAAACCAGTGAGGCCGGGGCAGCCTGGTTCGCATGGAGCTAGGCTTACTTTTTTTAGAACAGAAGTTTGAATGCAGCCGGCCGAAGACTTACCATGTAGTAAATGGTGACTGGTGCACGTTAAGTCTGTTGGGTAACATAGTCCTCCATGTTCCCATAACAAATAATACGTCTGGGGGTAATGAATTGGAGATTGATCGTTCTCTGGTCAGGGTCAAAATTATGATCTGTGGATGAATGAATGGATGTATGAATGGGTCCGCTTTATAAATGAGTGTGACATATGGGTGCGGCAGAAGTCGAATTCTTGGCCATAGAAGGCGCCACTGGAAAACAAGAACAATCCCACCCCTTGCCTTAATGGCCTACAACGACGACAACAACAACCAGATCAATGAACACTCGCAATTAAACAATAAGTGCAAAACAATCTGAAACATACCAGAATATAAATACTCACTTTTAAAATGCTGAGATAGTCACTCTCAAATTGCCTGTATGCTTCCCATATTAAACACCCTTGTGTGACATGGATTCCAACAGCTGTGATTGCGTCTTCAAACGCCGTACGTGTCACTTCAAGACCATCGACATCCCACTCTTCACCAATATTGCCAATAGAATAAAGGCAATATTCTAGCCATAATTGAACAGCTAAAATTAATATAAAAATAATACAATAAATGACAGAAATGCTGTAAATATTAACATCTAGAAAACTCAGAGAATTCTTCTTTTTTTTTTGAGAAATATGTTTAAATAAAAGACCATTTTTTCTATCCATTTTTGTCCATTCTAACCATTTTTGTCCATTTTGCACATTCTATCCATTCTTACCATTTTTGTATTTTTTCTAAAAATAGTATCTAGTGGTAGATACTATTTTTAACCATTATTGACTTCAAAATGTTATCGAAGGTACATGATTTTTCCACGTCATGAAAACCAGATCGCTGAATAAAACTTATAAAAATGATCCCAAATTATGCGTAAAAACAAATTTACCCAATTATAATTATAGAGCTATTTTAAGTAAATAAACAATTATGTTTTTTGTTTAAGTTTGCATTTTATTTCATACCATAAAAATTCGATAACTTTAGATCAAGATGTTTGTTTGCTTAAAAGATGCCTAGTTTCCTTGAAAATAACTTTTTTTTCTAATTTAACTTTCAACTCTAAAAACAAATCATTTATGGTATTTCTTAGTGCATTCTGACTACGATATAAGGTTGCAGATCTCTTTCAGAGATCGTCAAAAAGAGCTCGCTAAATAAGAGAATGACACATTTGAGTCTACTTATTTGTTTTGTTAATATATGTAATATATTTTTTTTTTTAATATTTTTTAGTGCTTTCTTATTTGACCTTTTCAGGTCACTGTGAGAGGTTTTGATGGTCTCTCTTTAAGGTTTTCTTCAACAAAAATTCTATGGAAAAAATTCCATGCCTTCCATAAGTGGTCTAAATAGAGGAGATCGTTACACAGAGGCGGTCTTTCTTAGAGGTTAAACTATACAAATAAACTGGATAAGAAGTAATCAAATGCATAATGCACACAATAAAAAAAGATTCCCAGTGTTGGTTTCGATTCTTGACCCCCAGCTAACCTTCAATGTTATCTACATTTATGTAAACAAAGCTCCTTTTTGGTAATTTTTATCTTCTATTTTCGGAAGTTATCAGGAAACGGTCGTATAAAACATAACTGGGAAAATAGCTTTGCTTCGACATTTAAAAGTTAATAAAGTTGGTGGAGAGTTATATTTCCTGCGGGCTTTAAAGGACAAATTTGAGATCGGTACAAAAATTAAAAATAAAAAAATTTATGTTAATTACTTCTAGGTTCTTTGTTGAGAAGATAAATGAAATACAGGATTCCCACTCAATTTTTTACATAAAATTTCTTGACTTTTCCGGGTTTCTCAGGAAAATTTCAATAAAATTGGAGATATTTTTGCTATGCTCAACAATATTTCTTTAAAAAAAACATAATACTTTTTTAAATAAGCAATAAAACTTGCATTTTGACAAAAAAAATAATAATAAATATGCCACATATTATATTTTGAAGAAAAAAAATTTACTAGGAAAAGGGTGAACGTGTAGGTATTATAATACTATAGATAAAAGCAATATTTTGCACAAAAATTAGAAAAATTTAAAATTTCGATGAAATAATGTTTATTAAGAGTCACATCAATTATATAGTCCACCATCTAATATCTTAATTTTGATTATAAACCAAAGTTATTTTATACAGAAAGCTTAATTTTTAAAAATACAATATTATTAAACTGCAAATATGGTTAGATATATAGGGGGGGGGGAATTCAACAAGAACTTTAAATAAAGAATATTTTTTTACAAATTATTCCAATTTTAATAATTCTAAAAAAAGAATTTACAAAAATATCCAGGTTACAGTTGGATTTTTTACAAGAAATAATTAAAATGGCTGTTAGACTTGTTTAGATTGAATATCATTGACTACTTATTACTTATTGTTATGGTCAATTTTCATATCCGTAATTTTTCAGGTTTTGTCTTAAAATTTAATTATTCCCTAACATTTTAACCCAAAATCATAATACCTGGCACTTCATGTACCTCACAGGAAAATATGTAAAAGAATTCAATAAAACTTACAGGAATAGTCCTTTAATGCTCTTTGAAATAAAGCTGTTAAATTTTCTTTTTGTTCTTTTGTAGTTGCCAAATTTTTTTCGTCACTTATCCAGTCAAGCCATAGCTCTAAAAAGTAAAATAATGAAAAGAAACATAAGAATTAAAGCACTCAATCATTTTGTTGTCTAAGTTTCTAAAAAAACAAAAATAAAATTCTTAAATAATTATGATCAGATTCAGTTTACAAATGAAGCTTTAAATCTTTTAAATGGATGCATTTACTATGCATGCTTTGCTTGGCATTTATATTGTGCATTTTACAGCATAAAATTTAAAACTACATAAACATTTATTCAATTTATGATTTAAAAAACCACCGTTGCAGTTGTTTATAGAAACTTCAGTAGATCAATAGATTTCGGAAATTAATTTAATTTTAATTTCATTTTTCTTATAGCTCATATTTGACACCATTCAATTTGTTGGAAATATTATTCAAATATACGTAATAAGAATAAAACTTAAAAAAATCAACCTGAAAAAAAATTAAGAGTTCAAAAATAAAGAAATTGAAATTGAATAAAACAACTATTAAAGAAAAATTAAAAAGAAGCTATAGAAAAGATGTAATAAAATTGAAAAGAAGTAATAGAATAGAATATAGAAAAGAAGTAATAAAAATAAAACTTTAAAAAAATCAACCTGAAAAAAATAAAAGTTCAAAAATAGAGAAATTTTAATTTTAATTAAATAAAACAACTACTGAAAAAAATGAAAAAGAAGCAATTAGAAAAAATATATTATTATACAAATACTTTAAATAAAATGAAATAAAATAAATAATGAACCTGGAGTTAAGGGAAATAACTTGCTCATCTTCTCTCTGGCAGATCGAAGTTCTTCTAAATTTCCACGCTTACGACAAAGATCAATGCACTGAACGTGGCGATCATACACATAAGGATCACTTTCAATCTATAAGCAGGTGTTTTTAAATTTAAAACATAAACAATATAGACATTTTTTTTAAATAAAACAAAGAAGTATTTAAAAAAGAACAAATAATTTTTTTACGAAAATAATTATTTAAAAAATAAGAATTGACGTCTTTTGAAATCATGCATCATCTTTCAGAAATCTCCAAGCAAAGTATTACACAAAATCCTTGTGCCAAAATGATTAACAAAAAAAAAGGGGGGAGGGAAATGGATAGTTAAAAGGAAAGCTTAATTATATAAAGCTAAGCATAGGTGGCACTAGCAGTTAAAATCTGTAATAAGATTTCTAGGTTACTACTTTCGGTTTATTTTTATGTCTAATTTTAGAAAACAAACTATCTTTTACAGTGAACCATTACTATTCCATATCCAAAATTGCAGGACTTTGGCAAATTTGGAAAATAGATTTTTCTGGATGACAGGAATAAGGTAAATAAACAACAAATCATGCATTATTTAATATATAAAAATAAGAAATAAACCATAATTTTATAAATTTTTTCTACGTTGAATGACCTTTAATTAGCTAATGCTTATTAAAGATCACTAGAATGCTTAGTATGACAAAATACAAGGTGATTCATTAGGAAGTATACATTTTCAATGCGCTATAAATCAAAAAAATTTAAGACATTAATATGTTACCTGCAACAGAATTGTTTAGGACTATTTTAAGTTTTGATAGAGTTACTTGCAGATGTTCTATGAGAACCCTCTTAGTTCACAAAATACATCGAGCAGCCAAAACACCTATTAAGGTATTATTCAATATGATTACGTACCAATAAGATTACATAAAAAAACAAGGTTTTTGTTTATCTAGTGGACTCGAAACAATGTATCACAGGTAACGTATTTACATACCTTAACACCCTTTTATGCGGATATGGTTTATTAGTTTCATGGGAGCCCTTTGACTAAGGGGTCACTCATAGAACATCTGCAATTGCCCCAAACAAAATTTTATAAAATTCCATATAATTCTGTTGCAGGTGACATATATTATCTTGCATTGTTAGCAATTTATAAGTCATTGAAATCATTTACTTCTTCATGAATAACCTTGTATGTATGAATATAAGGCATTTTTGAAAAGTAAAAATAGAATACTGCCTACTCATAAAACATTATCCCCTGTTGTCAGAGCCACATTTCCACTTTTGTTTTTCCACAGTTATGATTTCATCACCTTTATAAAGGTTTTTACCAGCAAGATGTTTTTTTTTCAGGTAAAGAAATATGTGAAAGTTGCTGGGTGCAAGGTCGGGACTGTATGACAGATGATTGAATATTTTAAATTTGAAACTTTGAGTTGTGCTTTGGTTTGAAGTTCTGCGTGAGGATAGGCATTATGATGCAACAAGCAAGCCCCTGCATTTGTTTTTAATTGCATGCATTTTATATACCTTTTTCATGACCTTCTGCAAACATAACGTTTTAGATAAAGAAAACATAGCACGAAACACACTATATATCTGACGGGATTTTGAATTTACACAGACATTACAAGGACGCGTCGCTCAAGCAAATTTCACCTTAAAAATAACAAATGATCTCAAGGGCAAAAGTGAAACTTTCAAGGTTACAGCCCCTGTTAACAACAGACTTACAGAAACTATTCTCTTACTGCTATTGTTGGAGTATCTCTTTACTTTCCAAAAAAAACCTTGTGTCAATAAATAAATAAAAGCAAACAGACAATAATTTGAGCTTTCTCTTTCAATAATAAAGAACAGATTTTTCTCTCTTACTTTTTAATTTGATGTGAAAAATTAGCAGTGCAGATAAAAAGAACATTAAAAAACGAGTCTTAAATTTTAAAAGTAAATTAATAGGATTTAATAAAATAAAAAAATAAAACAAGGAACAGAATTGAAAGGTTTATTTTTATTGAAAACATTTATCAAGGGAAACAAATCTTGTCACCTGGTTTTCCTTTCAAACACAGATGTTATTCAGCTATATTAATATTCATCATTAATATTTATAAATGTTTAGCTATTGGAAAAGCAGCAAATAGAAATAAAAAAAGTTTAAAAAAAACATTTCTTTTTACTAATATATTATTTTTAACAATTCACAAGAATAAATTTTTTTTTCTCGTAAGGGAAAAGAGATTTATTCCATTTGATTGTTGAAAATCATCTGAAAAATAGATATTTCCAATAAATTGACAACCAGATATGAGATGTATTGTATAATTGTAGATGTAAGTATATTTGTACTGTTTAGAATACTACTTGAGCTATAATTCATCATTCAATTTGGCCAAGGATTACATCAAAATAGCATCATTTTATATTAAAATTTATATTATTGACTGTATCTGTTTCCATCAGCTAAAACTTTTATAAAAAAAGATAAAGTTTAGAATATTGAACCCAGAATTCGGCAGAAAACCGTAATCAGTTGAAAGATAAGCATCTCATTTAATTTATTCAATTATTCACTGCTTTCCTTATGACAGCTGGACCAGAAATATTAATTGATAATTTCAGATCAGGTTTAGTTCAAACTGCGATATTGCTAAGGGACAGCAGAAATAGTTTTTGTTACGTTTAAATATTTTAAATAAAAAGAAACTTGAGAATGTATGCACAGTCGGAATGCCCAGTTCCATAGATTGTTCCACGAGAATGGAGCTCCAATTCATAAAGCTTCAAACCTTTTAAAAGAGTCCATGTGGAAAAAATATAATTTTACTAGGATTTCACCAGCATCTTATTTAAAAAGATCTAAGGAGAAAGGAAGGTTGTGGTTTATGGAGGCATTTATTTTTAACTACATCAGAATGTTTCCCTTTTTTTTAATCTAAACTACCTACTTAAAAATTATAGTTAAATCTTGCTGCCAAATTAAAAATGTAGAAAAAATTTAAAAAATAAGGCATAAGAAAGATGGAAAAGTAAGTTCTCATTTAAATATTTAAAAAATACATATTTTTAAAGTTTAGTTTAACATATTTTTTAGTTTTATGCCAAAACAACTTACTACCTAGAAAGAAAAATAGGGGAGATTTCCGTAGCGTTATCTGAGGCAGAATGATCGCCAAGTCTTGGCAACTTCCCGGCAATGGCCCGCAAAAAAAAAAATTAAAAAAACAGGAACCAACTCAAGAGGTACGACTCATATCCACCTCCAAGTAAACAATGGCAAGTTTTTGACACATGACGGTTTTTACCGGTTTTTATCGTCATGTCAAAAAACCCTTTGTCAAAAACCCATAGTTTTGGTAAAACTGTTTTTTTATTTGAGTTAATTGGCTTATTTACATTGCCTTTCCTTGCTTTACAAATTTTAGCGTCTCCTTTTAATTGTATTTGATAATTGTTTGTTTTACCACTTTACTCTCGGAGCATTTTAATTATTTTACTGCTGTTGCCATCAGACTCTGTAATGTTTACATAATGTTACTCTGTAATGTTACTTTTTTGTATTTTATGTACTTTTTTGTTTTCTTGATTTTAATAAACATTTACCCGTATGCCCTAAATTGGGGCAGGTCGGGGTAAATATTTCATAATTTAAAATTTATTCATTTTTGGGCAATAAAATTAGAAAAAAAATTGTTAAAAAATATTTAAGAACAGATTCTTGCATTTTCCCAACATGAATATATCAAAACATACTATTTGGAGTAAAATATTAGGATACTAAAAAAAAAATTCAACATTTCCAAGCATTATTTTGTTTGGCATATTACATTACTGAAGAATGTCAAGATTGATTACTTTCATTCTTAAAATCTTGCTATGAGAAACACATGTACACATAAAAAGAAAGCCTCATAAAATGAACTTTTCTTATCAATTTTGCTTTCAATATTTTACACAGAAATGAGAATTAGAAAAAATNTCTCACCCTGTTTTTGAGAAAGGGTGAGAAATTCTCACCCATTTTTTTTCTATGATGAAAACACTGGAATGTATATCCTTCTATAAGAATACATGTATATATAGTTGCAAAATCAATAGCAAATCATTTACAACATTCATTTATAAAGGCAATTATGTGAAAATAATATATTGTCCGCTATATGCCATAAATTAAAGAAAACAGTAGGTTTTTGACAGTTTTTACCACTGTCATGTCAAAAACCAGTTTCTGACGGCAAAAACCCAACCCTGAAACATCTAAATGTTTTTTCAAAAAAATTTGTAAGTTTAAAATAGCTTTGGCACCTTGGCAATTGTAGTTAGCGCGACAGATCACGCTATGGACATATCCCCAAAAAATAAATCAATATTTTATGTAATGCTAATTAAATAAAAAAAAGCTTTAAATCTCAATTTGCTTATTTAAAAGTTTGAATTCCTTACGTTTCTGAGTGAGATAGTATATTTAGTTTTATAAATTATTACTATTTCAAATATTTTGATTTCTATTATTTTCAACAGATATGCTAGTTTATTCAAGAATTGTGTAATGTCAAATAAATTACTTTCTTTGTTAAAGAATTAATTATTACTATAAAAAAATTTTGATAATGTACAAACCTTTTTTTCTAAAAATAAGTAGGAAAATATTTCTAAAAAGAGATTTCAAATCACAAATACGGTGTTATTATTCAAACTTCACGTAATATCAAATTTTTAAGCTAAAATTTTTTTGAAATATCATATATTGTGATCTGTAGCAGCTCGCCAACTTTGAAGCAGAGGAACATCACAAAAAAACTAACTAAACTATTAAAAAACAATACAGAAGGGGACCAACTTGAAGGATATAACTTGTATCCACACCACACCAAACCTTCAAGTGGTTTTTTTTTAAAAAACATGTGAGCAAGTTTAAAGTCCATTTGGTGCAAAACTAATTATAGTGGCCATGTCAGATAACGAAGGGATATTTCCGTATCAGGATCTGTCGCACCAACTACAATCGCCAAGATGCCAATTAGATAGATTTTAAACTTGCTAATTTTTCTTAAAAAACATATTAATTTTTGCCCGGGGGTGGCTACGAGTTATACCTTTTGAGTTGGTTTCTTTATGAGATTTTCTTCTTCAGTTTCTCGCAGACCACTGCCCAGAAGTTGCCAAGACTTGGGAATTACTCTTCCACAAATCACAACGCGGAAATCTCTCCGATAACGATATCGAAATTCCCCCGATATATAAATTTTTGTGAAGAGACATATTTTGAGATTCAGATTTCAGTAAAGTGTCCTTATACAGACCCTAATTCTTTTGTAATTTAACTCGTGGAAGCATTGTCATTTTAATCTTTTTACACCTTAATGATATAAAACACATTAATGTCAATATTACATATTTGAAATGCGAAATAACCTTAAAAACTCTCTTTTTAGGGGTTATTTCCGTATCGTGATTAGCGCCGGCTACAATCGCCAAGGTGACCAATAGATTTTAAACTTGCAACTTTTTTTTAAAAAAATATGTAGATGTTTGCCCGGGAGTGGTTACGAGTTATACCTTTCGAGTTGGTCCCTTTCTGTGATGTTTTTTTTAGTTTCTCGCGGGCAAACTGCCCGGAAGTTTCCAAGATTTGGCGATTATTCTGCCACAGATCACGATACAAAAATCTCCCCTTTTTTACGCTAATTAAAGTCTTGAAAACGAATAATAATCAGAAAATTGCTAGAGGATATTTCCGGGGATATGAATTACCATGCCAACTACAATCACCAAGGCGCCAAATTGGTTTTAAACTGGAAAGATTTAAAAACAGAAGGAAAAAAAACGTAGATGTTTGTCCGGGGGTGTCTACGAGTTATACCCTTCGAGTTGGTCCCTTTCTGTGATGTTTTGTTTAGTTTCTCGCCGGCCGCTGCCCGGAAGTTGCAAAGACTTGGCGATTATTCTACTACAGATCAGGATACGGAAATCACCCTAAGATCGCTTTAATGTTAGATTAAATTAAATTAATTGAACAAATTAAAATTATACAAATATACAAAAGACAAATAATTGGGAGTAGGAATTCTTAAAAACGAATAACATTAAATAATATTTACTTCATTTTTCAATTCGGCGATTTTTCCATCATCGACATCTTCTTCAGAAGAAGAGTGTTCCGAAGAATTAGAGAAAGTATCCTCCTCTTCTTTCATCTCAATATCTTCATCCATTGTAATAAATGCGACTTTCAAACAATAGAAAATAAAAACTCAGCTCGAGGAAAAAGAAAAATATTAATCGCTCTGTGTTTTCTGATACAATGCTTGTATGTAAACACTCGTCAATTATGTTATTAATAGACTTCTGGCTACTTATTGTCCCTACTTAAAGCGCCATCAGTGACAAATAACTTTAATAATTCCTTTTAAATGACAAAGTTAACAACTGAAACCAAATTTGATGAATACGATGGTATATTTTTATTAGTACGTTTATTTACTTGATGCGCGTCTTTTTAAGCCGCATATGCTTATCTCATGCGGGTCCCGACAGCAATTACCTTTAAACATTATTGAATCATTCAACTCTGCTTTTTGATCATCTTCCGAACTTGATTTTTGGGAGTCATTACATATTTTGAAAAATTCTAATAGCGTGAGATCTTTCGAATCCCCTCACGCCTGTTTCTTACCTCCCCACTGTTTTATTGCTTATTGGATTTCTGATTTGATTTGTTCATTTACGTCGCACTAGAACTGCACAATGGGCTATTGGTGACGGTCTGAGAAACATCCCTGAGGATGATCCGAAGACATGCCATCACAATTTTTGATCCTCTGCGGAGGGAATGGCACCCCCGCTTCGGTAGCCCGACGACCTGCACGCGAAGTCGAGCACTTTACGGTAGAACAGTTTAACGAGGACCAATACCGCACACCCTCGGTCCCTACGCAGGCTGACCCAAGTGGTCACCCACCCGCACACTGACCGCAGTCAGTGATGCTTGACATCGGTGATCTGCTGGAAACCGTGTCTTAGCGATCAGTCCACTGCGGGACCTATAGTATCCATAGAAACTATTTCATTAGTACTTTTTTTTTTTGCTTTAAGCTATAAAATGGCTTTACGAAAAACAAATCCTAAATTTGAAAGGTGGAAAAAAAATTTTTTTAAAAAAAGGAAAAAATATGTATAAGCAAATAAAGGTTAACGACATTTATTTATATAGTAGATGCATATGAAAAGTAAGCAAAGAAAATGTTTTTATTTTTAAAATAAAAATTTCATTATATATTATTATAAGAATCACTAAATTAATGTTTATTTGCCGATGAAAATTCATATGGAAGTTTGTAATACCCAACTTAAAATGTCATTATCTAATTTTTCTTAACTTACTAGGAATTTTTATTTAAAAAAAAAGAAGAAAAAAAGATGCAATAATTGTTCCTGAATCTTACTTTCAATTTATCAAATAAAATTTTAAAAAATTTCAGTGAATATTTTGGCTCCCAAATTTTGGCTGTATTTCTTTTCCACCGGTGGCAACGTTTGCTTTGACGGCGAATCGACCAATGATTGCCTCTAAAAATGTCACATGCCAAATCTAGCTGAGGTGGCTCAACATATAGCGCTTTTAAAAACGGAAACTGAAATAACCAGAGAGAGCATAAGCTAGGCAGAAGTGAGTAGTCTTTGTCGATAGATCTCTATTTTAGTATTTTGTCGAAAGCGCTTTTTTTCACGAATTTATATATTACGAATTTATTTGACGATTTTTGATTTATATCACGAATTTATTTGTTTTACTAGAATTTATTTGTTTATGCAGGTTTTTCCATTGCAATTCACTTATTTCAATTTTTAATAGACTTAATTATAGCCAAAATTTTAACCTTTTTAAAGAGATATCAGTTTTAGAAATTTTATCTTAAGATTTTATACTATAGCACATTTCTAATAGGTTTAGCGAATTACATGTCATTTATTTGAATTCAAATTTATTTTAATGACTTAGTATTTACTAAAAAGATGTAATTTTTTAAAAAAAGGAAGTTTTTATATGGATTTGAATTATTGTTTTGAATTCTTAGAATTTTGTGCATTTGCAATGTACCGAAGTTAGTAGCGAGTGAAGCGAGCTTGGTTTGCGAAGCAATTTTCGAGAGTTGGCGAGCGTTAGCGAGCAGAGGGCGCAGCCCACTTGTTATTTAAATAACAATAACGTTCATATTTAATACTTGAGAAAGAAATGAAATCCTATCCATAAATTAAATTAATTCTATTAAAAAAATTTCTGCTCTTTTTCTTTTATTTACAACTTTTCAAGAGTATTAAAACCCTTACAGGCATTGCGAATTCAGATCAAATGCCATATGAACGGCGGGTACATAGACGATTCCAAAAAAAGTTCAGGATAAGACTTTAAGTGCAGTTCAGAAGCCCTCATTAATTCTAAGAGTAGATTTCAATTTTTCAAATTCACGTTTGGTGTTTGTTAAATTAAAAATTTTCACTTCTATTATTATTTGCTCCCGTTGTAGAATGACTATAGCTACAAATTATTAATTTACAGTAAGCAAAAAAGAAGTAATTAAACTAACCAACTTGAATAACTTTTGATCGGATCTTCCCGTTCTAGGACTCAATCTTAATTTTTTAAGGGTGAGATCCAAACATGATAATTAATTAACGCAGATGATATTTTAAGTTACGAAATCAGACACAAAAACTTACTTTCTGTGAAAAAACATATCGTTTCTTCGACGGATTCGGATTTTTGTACTGCGTAATATATGGAGTAGCAGCAATCTGGTAAATATGGTGTGTGCATAACTTGGTCAGGAGAGAGGACCAAAGTTTCGACCCCTTAACGTTAATTTTATTTTTTGCATATTTCGCCATATCTCGCGAACTTTTTACGCGCGAATTGAAAGTTTTTTTACACATAATAATAAAATTCGCTTAAGGATAATTCAATGCAATATATATGTGTGTGTGTGTGTGGAGCTGTTGTTATAATATTATAGTGCAATAGCTGCGAACATTACATCATCATCCAACATCACGTAATACTTTAAGATAGTTGCATCATCCTTTTTGTTATTGAGAGGCGCCAGCCAATCCCGATGGGGAACTCCCGAATTTATAATTAAGTCTTGACTTTATACCATAGAACAGTGTTTCCCAAAGTGTGGTACGCGTACCCCCAGGGGTACGGGAACAGTTTATCGGGGGTACGTGTTCTTATGGGAAATATCTTGCAACAAACGAAAATTACAAAAAAATATATTCAGAAACAAAGGTAGCCTTGAAAATTTACGATTAGGTATTTTTCTATTGGCTATTTTTTGCTGAGGTAACAGTTAATAATTAATGGTGTCAACAGCCAGTTGATATTTTTAACTTTTGTGCAATTTTTTATAGTAAAAAATACATTAATTTTTTTATTAGTTGTACACAGCGTTACGAAAAATTTAGAAAGGGTGCACAAAAGTCATAAGTTTGGGAAACACTGCCATAGAACAATCTAATTCAGTGATTCTCAACCACTGTGCCGCGGCACTTTTGTGTGCCGCCAAATTCTTAAAATGTGCCGCCAAATATTAGAAACGAGGCAATAAAAATTATAACTTTTTTTATTACGAGTTAAGTTTAAATTAAAGAAAAGTGTTTATATATATATAATATTATATATATAGGGTTATTCATAATTCCCCCCGGGCAGGAACTGGACTATCGCATTGATGTATGCCGTGTGACCAAGAGTTCACACATGGAACACCTGTAATGTATGTAAGTAAAACTTGCATAGTTTCGAAATAATTTCATATGTTTCTTTTTTTTCATATTCGTCTTCTTTTTTTTACTATAACGCTTCGAANCATAGTTTTGCGTGTCCTTTTCATCTTGATGTGATCCCGATAAGCTGTTCCGGGATTGTCCGGAGTCTTGTCCACTCCCCCTCCTTTGCAGGAGTGGGGACGTGAACTGTTAGCAATACCAGCCTACATTTAAATAAACCTGTTTAGAACGTATGATGGTTTAAGACTGCAATTATTTCAAGCTAAAGACAACACTGATAACAGGGTTGTAGCCCTGTTATTACATATATATTTACAATCAAACATACGACTTTTTTAAAATTCGATTTCTCAGGAACTATTCCGATTTTGCTCTAATTTTCTAATTTGACACGTAAAATTACATTATTTTAAAGATGTAAAAAAATTGTTTACCTTAAAGTAAAAAAATTTCGATTATTATTAAATAAAATAATAACTAAACAAATAATAAATATTTACTAAAAGTTATTTTTTTCATTGAATTATCTTTGGATAAACAACATTTATAATTGTGTGCAAAAATCTTTCGTTTCGCTTTTAAAAAGTTCCCGAGTTATAGCAAAATACGCAAAAAGTAATTATGGGGTCTAAACTTTTGATCGCTCTCCTGACACAACTATAGGGACCAAATTTCAAGAATTACCGGTACCCCCCCTATTTTGTGGATTAGAAATCCGAATCCGTCAAAAAAATGTTTGTTTTTTTTATTCAGAGAAAGTACGTTTTTGTGTCGAATTTCGGAACTTAAAAAATATCGTTTGCGTTAGTTAATTATCATTCATCATCATATCTGGCTTGACAGCCCAGGGTGGGCCAGTGCCTTCCTTAGAATTCGAATCCAAAGGAAGAACTTTTGACACTTTTGTCTACTTTTGACACTTGTTCGCCAGTTTTTCTCCTTTAGAGTAAGGAAATCAGTCTCAACTAAATCCAGCCATCTCAGCCTGGGTCTACCTCTTTTCCTGTTAGGGGTTTGTGTAATAGGATTTTCTTTAAATTTGAGTCATCATTCCTTCTGAAAATGTGAGCTGCCCAGTTCATTCAATTTATATTTATGAATTTCACAATATCTAGCTCTCTGTAGATTTTATACAGTTCAGTATTATATCGTCTTCTCCAGGAATTATTTATTTTTATCCCACCAAGGATGGCCCTCAAAACTTTTCTCTCAAAAACGGCAATTTTATTTTCACCAGCTTGAGTTAGGTTCCAGGTCTTAGAGCCATAGGTAAGTATGCTTAACGCTATACTTAATTATCATTAAGATTCAGTAATAAAACGTGAAGATTAGATCAAAAGTAATTCATGGTAGTTTTATCTTTTCTTAATGTACAGAGCAAATAAAAAATTTAAGACAATAAAAAAATATTAATAATTTTTGATCTAATGATCAGATTTTCAAATTCCAGTAGTCAATCTTAACGGCTCGAGGGAGTGACCTCAAATATGCTAATTAATTAATATGCGCACGATATTTTAAGTTACGAAATCAGACACAAAAATGCACTTTCCCTAACTAAGCATACCTTTTTTCAACAAATTCAGATTTCTGTCTCCCAAAATAACGGGGGTAACCACAATCTAGAAAATATGGTCCCCATAGTTTGGTTAGGAGAGAGATGCAAAGTTTGAACCCCCTAATGTTAATTTTATTTTTCGCTTATTTCGCCATATCTCGAGAACTTCTTAAACGAATTGAAAAAATCTCTGCCCAACACAATTATAAAAACCGTTTATCCAAATATAAATCCATGACAAAAATAAATTTTGGTAAATATTTACTATTTCTTATTATTTTATTTAGAAATAGTTGAAAACATTTTGAATTGTAAGGTATTTTCTTTGCATCATTTTAAAGTATGCAATTTTACATGGCAAAATAAAAAATTTGGGGGTCAAATCGGACAAGTAGTTCCATCCTAAGAAATTGAATTTTTTAAATTCGATTTTTTTGAAATTTGATTTCTCAGAAGCTATTCAACCGATTTCGCTCTAATTCTGCATTTCGCCATGTAAAATTACATTCTTTATAATTATGCAAAAAATGGTATACCTTAGATTTCAAAATTTTTTCGGCTATTATTTAATAAATTAATAAAAATAATAAATATTTACAGTAAGTTATTTTTTGCATACAATTATCTTTAGTTAAACGAATTTTATAAGTGTGTTCGAAATTTCTTTAATTCGCTTAAAAATTTCTCGAAATATCGCGAAATATCCAAAAAGTAAAATTTACATTAAGGGGTCCAAAATTTGGAGCGCTCTACTGACAAACTATGGGGTCCAGATTTTGAGTGCCGGAAATCCGAATGCGTCGGAAGGTCACGAGTTCGATCTCTTCGGGCTAAAGACTCCTCGTGTAGTAAATTGCTGACTGGTGCATGTTAAATCTGTTGGGTCACAAAGTCCTCCATGTTCCCATAACAAATTTTACCTCTGGGTGTGCTAAATGTGAAATTGATCGTGCCCTGCTTTAGATCAAAATTACGATCTGTAGGAATGGATGCACGAATGAGTTCATCCTATAAACGGGGTGTGACGAGTGTGTGTGTGTGTGTGACAGAAGTCATATTCTTGGCCTTGTTGAAAAACAAGAAACGCACCCCCTGCCTTTAATTAGATTGGTTTCACCAAACAGACTTGCTGTTATTGGCAACTAGCATTATAAACAAGAACAACATAAAAACATGTTAAATCGCTAGCTCAAATTTTAATTGGAGATGAATGACAATAAAAATTCAATCGGTTCCTGATCACTTAATGCAGAATTCATTACCAAATTGAATTTATTGTCACTCCGAATTGTAACCTTTCTTGGTTAGTTTAAATTTGTTTAAAGGGAAATGTCTTACATATAAGAACATTTATAAAATTGTGAACTTATGCAATAATTTAAATATACAGTTCCAATAAACTTTACAGCTTATTGGAACTGTTTATTTAAATCAATAATAAATATAACTACCGAACTTTTATGTTTTTACTATAAATCGTATTAAATTGAAATATTTTCTAATTTTAATAAAACTGTTAAATACTATAATATTCATCTATCTGTAATGCAACTCATTTCAATCTGCAGTGAATTAAACTTAAGTTATATAAATGCCGGCTGTATTTGTTTTTTTATTCATTGAAGTTTAAAAGTAAACTCATTCATTTTGCGTTTAATAACACGCTAGTTTCTTGCTTAAAAGATAAATTTGCTCTTATATTGTTATTAATGTTTCATTTAGGCTAATTGATAAAAATTTAAATAAAGGATTTTTTAAATTTTCGTAAGTGCAACCCTTTATAAACAGAGCCTTTTCTATAATTTTACAATCTTTCTACAGTAATTTCTTTTCAATATTTATATATATGTATCGATATTTATTTCTTCTTTAATAAAAAATATATACACAATATTTATAAACATTTTGCTATTTGATATTATTTTCAATGAAAATAATATTTGCTTGAGGAATGCAATAGATCTTGTCGGATACTCATTAACATATGAATTATTTTTCATAGGAAAAAAAGTCTTTCTACATAATTGAAAACCCAACAAATTGAAAGCATGAAAATTGTAACAAATTTTAGAGGGGGGATGGCAATTCCATCACTATAAAACATTTTTGTTTAGGTTTATCAAACAAAAAAGAAACATAATTTGTCGAAATTTAAAAATGCTTTATAAAAAAGCAAAAGCAAAAAAATGTTTGTAAAAAAAATTTAAAAATATAATTTTTTGCTGATAATTTTTTTTTTTNTATTTGATATTATTTTCAAAGAAAATAATATTTGCTTGAGGAATGCAATAGATCTTGTCGGATACTCATTAACATATGAATTACTTTTCATAGGAAAAAAAGTCTTTCTACATAATTTGCTTAACCCAAAAAATTGAAAGCATGAAAATTGTAACAAATTTTAGAGGAGGGGGATGGCAATTCCATCACTATAAAACATTTTTGTTTAGGTTTATCAAACAAAAAAGAAACATAATTTTTCGAAATTTAGAAATGTTTTCAATAGCAAAATAATGTTTGCATAAAAATTGAAAAAAATAATTTTTTGTTGATATTTGATTTTTTTCTCTTTTTTTTTGAGAAAGAAAAAGAGAAAAAAAGAAACGAAAGTATAGTATAGGCAGTATATAGTGCTGCCATCTACTGATTTCAAACTAATATTTTGAAACAAATTTAACTTGAAAACATTACACCTTAAAACAATAATCACTACTAGTATAATTTTTTTAAACAAATTTAAAAGAAATTTCACACTGTACTGGAAATGTTGTACTATGATTTCAAAAGTTCTTCTTTAAATAGCTTTTCAAATCTTGCACAACTGAATCGAATATCACTTCACGTTTTTTAGTACCATCCAAATAGTAAACATCAGGGCAATGCTTTTTCACATCTTCTAAATTCGTGAAGTACATAGGCCAAACACATAGTTCAAAATATCCAGGAATATCCGGGGGGTCGTACACACGCGTCACTCTTCGCTTCAAACATTCATCTTTATTTAAAGTCAAAAAATATTTTTTATTAAAAATGCCTCGTAGTTTAGGGTGATTAAATATTATGTGACCTTCGACAATGAGTAAAGAATGTGCAGACGGGAGTGGCGAAGCTAATATTTCCTCTAACTGTTCTATCATGGGTTCCCAGTTTACAGATTCTAAACGTTCCCAATTTTTGTGATTGAGTTCTGGAATAACGACATGTTCTGGACTATCATCACTTCGAAAAAATGTATCCTGATTCACAACTACACTTCCAGGGAAAAAAGACAACAATGAATTAGCAAGAGTTGATTTACCGCCATTTGTGCATCCGGATATTCCGACACAAATCCATCTGTTTTCCATATTGATCTGGATGTTGATTTAACAGAAAGATAACTTCCCAGCAAAAGTTAAATGAAGAGCATTTAAATTCTTTTCAAGATAACTAAGTTATCTTCTAAGAAGTAAGGGAATGTAAGCAAATCTATTTACTTACAAGCGCTGTTGAAGGACATATATAAATTATTCTCATATCTATTCCGTTTCTTCAAATTTTGCTTCCTGAGATTCAATATTTTGTGAGATAATCACGTAAAAACAGTTGTAAATTATTATATTTATATATATTTTAAATCCAAAATTTTAAAAATATATTTTGTTTTTATAATTTTAAAAACCAATATTCAATGTGCCGAAATAGCTCAGTTGGGAGAGCGTTAGACTGAAGATCTAAAGGTCCCTGGTTCGATCCCGGGTTTCGGCATTAGGAGATATTTTTTTACCATGCTAGTATTATAAGTTTTTAGATTAAACTAATAAATAGAATTCGTTCCGAATACTTTTTTATTAATTTTATCAGACGAAATTTTTATGGATTCAAATTTTAAGTCGTTAAAAGTTCCGGGCAATCCTGCATTTTTTTAGAGATAAAAAGAAAATAGAAAATTTTAAAAGGTAATAGACAAGCAAAATCGGTCTTGCCACAAATTTTTCATGAATTTAGAAATTTAAAGCTGTGTATTCTTAATGATATTAATAGTTTAATATTTTATTAATTTAAACACTTGAAATTGTTTTTAGATGAAAAATAAAATAATATTGTGTAATAGACTTTTTTTTCATAGGATACAGTTTAAAAATTACTTATGCATATTTTTAGCAAATTTAAACTGCCCTGGTCAGCAAAATTAAGCTAATCACAAACCCCTCCCATGCTTACGTAAGAAACTTTTGACTTCCTGGCTTCTGCCTCGACTTTTACTGCAGTAATTTAATTTAAATATTAAATTCAAGTGAAAAATATAACTTTGCATGAAAAAATTTACATTTTCTAATTAAACATAGTTTTATAAAATGCTAAGTAGAATATTCTTGAGGAATCTTTTGAGTTCAAAACTTTTGACTTCTAAAACTCAACGAAGAACTTTTTTCTTTTCACAAATTAAACTTTGGTTCCAAAATTTGAAATTTCTATCCACGAGTAATTTTTTTCGTTTCATTTTTAAATTTGCTTATTAAATGAAGTTTTAAAATAAGAGGATTTTAATATCTTACATAAGCATTTTCTATCCCCCCCCCGTCCTCCTTCATCAGCAAAAAAAAAAAAACTAATCATACACTCCCTTTTTGCTTACGTAATCTAAATGAAATACCACTATTCTTACATTTCGTTGTTTTTTGCTAATAATATCTACCATTGTTAAATTACAATATACTACACTGTATTAGTATAAAGTCGTAAATAAGAAATATAAATATGACCATCAATAGAAACTTCGAAGTTTAAAAAGAAAACACGCGGCAAGAAACGTAAAAAAATAAATGAATACATAGTATCAGGAGCCTGTAATAATATGTTTTAACAATTTTAAAAATTAATCAAGTGTAAAATAAAATAATTAAACAATTGAAAAAAATTAAAAACAATAAATTCGTATTAAATACATTTAATGGAACGGTCATCATAGTGAAAAAGATAATGGCTCAAATGCTGTTTGCAAAATTCATTATTCTCTTTTCTTAGGCTAACACCGATTGATAAACGTACAAGGGAAAAAAAAAAACAAATTTATTTTGAATGAATAGGTATTCATGACAATTTCTTTTACGTTTAACAGTAAGGAATAGTGGAGAGTCTTTAAAAATAGTAAAAGCTTTAAGTACTCATAACTGCTTATAAGCCATAGATGACCTTTTAGAAGTACAGTGAAACCTACTAAAGCTTTTTCTTTCTTTTTTCTATTGTATATGTGAAAGGTGATTTTGCTTTTATCACAGCTATCAACAGTTCTGCATTTTGAAATTTTTTATTTTTACAATTCAGGTTATTGCAAAATTTATACTCGATTGATTAATTTTTGTTTTACCTGTTAGGTGATTCAATTTGATAAGAGAGAAAAATAAACTCGTCCGTAAAGTTAATACTATTATGACATTTTACATAATGGTTAAAGAAAATCAGATGACTAAAATAAATAACTAATAAAGTTTATGTTAGTAAGGAAGGGATTTTTACAAAGGAAAATGGCGGAAAAAAAATTGTTATCTGGAATCACAATTTTTGCGAAAAATAAAGAAATAAATATAAACGGATAAAAAAGATCGTTGTTAACTTTTGTTAAGAAGACTTTATATTTTTTAATAAATTTAAAAAGAGTTTAAATTTATATTCCGGAAACCTCCGGCCTTGTTCTGTTTTTAGAAGATTTCGACGCGTAGGCTGCTTCTGGGGCTGAGAAAATTGCATAGCCCCTGTCGTGGTTTTTCGCGCGGAGTGGGTCGTGACGTCACTATGTAGAGGTACTGCTCTGCAGGAATGTGAAGACTTGCCAAACTATACGTGTGTTTATTTATTTCGTAGTATTCTGTTAATAATTTTATAAGAAACTGTATTTTTCATTTGAAATTGTTTTAATAAAAACCACGCAGAAATAAAATCATACAATTATTACTTTTCGGTGAAACACGCTTGTATCCATGGGCGTCATTGTCGGGTGGGGGGAACGGTACTTATATGTCCCCCTCAATGATTCGAAATCTCTTGAAGTTCACCTCAATGTTTCAGACAAATAAACTAAATTATCACGAACCATTATTGATTTAAATTCGTCAAAGTTAAAAACAAGAAAGATATAAAAATAATGCAGATATAAGAAAACATTCAAGAACTAGGGTGAATGTGTATTTAAATTTCTTCCACCCTCAGAAAATTGGACTCCTGTAACGTCAATGTTTGTATGCATCGTAGATATTTAATTTCCGCTCTTTTATTATTTGCTAACCATGCATTTACGAAAGAAATAAGTGTATTTCACTTTTAAATTTTACTGAGCATTCGTAAAATTTACGTGAAACTAAAATGTCGAATTATAGCAAAAATGATTACCCAAAAAAATTTAAAATTTTACGTAAATAAATTCGCTTTATTTACGAATATTTTACCAACCACTTTTTACTAGGTAAAAATGAGTATTTTATTTTTACATATTTACGTCAACAATACATCCAAATGTACGTAAATTGAAACGTCGCATTACAACAAAAAATAGTTATTCAAAAAACAAATATTTACGTAACATTTTGGGTAAACAAATTATTTTATTTTAGGAATATTTTACCAACCACTCTTTACTAGGTAAGAATGAACTCGTTATTTTTACATATAATTTACGTCAAAATGTAGACAAGTGTACAAATGTAAAATTATAGAAAAAAATGGCAATCCAAAAGAAGAAAAAAAATAAAAAATTTGCGTGAATAAATTCGAACCGAAATTTAAATAGTAAATTTACTTTGTCAATAATTAAATACACAGAATCATTTTTACTAAATCGTAAATATTCTTCCGTCAATCTTTTCGTAAAAGAAAAAAAAAATAAGACAGCAATCTTACAAAAGAGTAGTTGGTAAAATCCATTACGTAAATAATTATGTAAAATATACCAAAGCTTTTTTACCTCTCAAAGGTAATATCATTACGTCAATATTAGGTAAAATTATGTATAAAACGTATTGATTTTACCAATTTCCCAAAATTTAATTTACGTATCACGCTAAAAGAGAATTTTAAAATTTTAGAGCGTTCATGAAGAGCAGATATTATCTTTAATTTTAACGATCATTGTCATGAAAGAAATTTTAATTATTGTTTTAATTAGTAGCGAAGGGGGTTCCTGAGGCGATTCGCTACTTCGGGTATTTCCCAAAGGCAGCTAAGCAGCGCCTGATTTAGAAATGTGAGGGTTCTATGCACAGAACTATCAGGCCCATAACTTTTAAAAAATGTACTTTTTTTGTGTGTATGAAGTGCCCTTAAATTATTTATAACATGAGTAAATGATATAATAGTAAATTTGAGCTTTTATTTTTTACAATTTTTGTTTAACTCATAATTCTAATGGGTAATTCTCAAGGAAAAAGTTTAAAAAAAAAAATTATAACAATAATGGGCTCCTAGAAATTAGGCCTAGGCCTCCCAGGCCTTATAATAAATCAGGCACAGGCTCAGTTACTAATACACTACTTTCACATTACTTTCCCCATTCCGTTTCTAATCTTCAAAAAAAAAAAATTTAAAAAATAAAGGATGTCAACATTGTTATGGTCAATTTCTTTTTTCAAATATTTTTGTTTAAAAAAAATTTATTTATTTACTTATCATATGTAATCAGGGAACGCCTAGATCATTCATTCTCATTCAATTTACAAAACAATTTTAGAGCTTATGCATCCTTTTGTAACTTGCGTGACACAGCTGACCCATTTTTAAGTTTACAACTATTAATGTTTAACTCCGTAGCTTTGGAATTTTTATCCCAACCCAGAAGACAGGAGAACTCTTGCACAAAACATTGAGACATATTAGCCTTCATGAAAGATATAGAACTAACTCGTACTTTTGTTTAATGGAGAAAAACCTCTTTCGGCTAGCCCGACAGCAAGGGGATTCTAACTTATGATCTATCCATCAAGGAAGATATTTTACGCCAAAACTGTTGTCGGAGCAGAATATGTAGCTGGATCAACCTGGGTCATCTTATTGATAGGCGAGCGATCTATAACCTTTAGCCACCGCGTCTCCCGATTGTAAATCATTGATGTAATTTCCTTTACACGTTACAATAAAAGCTAAAAAAGGTACTTATCGTTATGGGTCAGAAATTCTTAAATTTTATAAGGACTGGGAAGCCAAGATAGCCAACATATAGGAATAACGCTAGATTCAGGTTAACGCAGGTCACCTAACAATTTTCACATAGGTGTATCAAACACTGCATTATCGCGGTTTTTGATGATAACAATACATATTTAATTCGGAAATATCGTGGTAATATTTAACAACTACAATTCTCGAATAGGACGATATCGTGATCATAATCGAAAATATAACATCGCAAATATTAAACTATAGTTATTGAATACGATATTATTGTGAGTCTTAATATAATATTTATTTGGGAAACAAAAATATAGATTTTTGTAAAAACAATTAAAAATTAGTTGAATCGAA